TTGCCAGGACCTTCGCTTTGCAGCTTGTACCAGGGAACGAAACTTGCGATGAGCAACTTTGTATAAGAACCATTTTTCAATTTTGGCAATACCAAAGGCATGCCTCCATTGACTATATGAGCGATCGCGTGCAGTAGCAGCATCCTGAATTTCTTGTGTCCAGTACTTCTTCCAATGGCCAGGACGACCGGATTTTACACCAATAGAACTATCCAGAGATTCATACAAACATTGATTCAAAGAATCGTTGAGTGCATCAATATCTGGACGAACACCAGGAGGAGCAGACACCAAACCAGAAAGAGTACCAACCAGAGGAGCAACAGAAGATCGAAAGGATTCACGGAGTAAGCCCAAAGGCTTCTCTTTCGTCAATTTCGAGAGCTTCCATTGACGCCGAGGAGGCAGAACAGAATCACCAGGAGCCACAGTGTCATCGAGAGGTGGCACATACCCGAAAGTAAGTGACATCAATCGATGGTCAGAACCAAGAGACAGATCAGACTCAACCACCAGTTGAGGATTCACCAAAGCAACATCACCAATATTTGTCAAAAACAAATCAATGACACTACTCAATTCTTGCTGCTGCCGAAAAGAAGAGTACGTCGTAACGCCAAAAGCCAAAGACGCATTGAGCACAGACAAGCAATGTTCATCAAACCAAGGTTTGAGAGCATTACCACGAGCATTGGAGATAGCATCACCAGTGAGAGAACCCAACCGAGCATTGAAATCGCCACAGAGGATAGTATCCCTAGTCATAGGTAGTGAACTAAGGGCCGAGAGCACCTTATCAGAGGATAAGGGTGGAGGAAAGTAAACACAATGAACCGTTAGGGTGCCAACCTTGAGAGACAGAGTGTGCGGATTATAAGAAGGTAGTTGGGAGACAGTGAAGGGACAGGAAGGAGAGACAAAGGCAGTGATACCACCAGAACCACGATTGAAAGCACCAGGTACTTTTGAACCATAGAGATGGAATTGAGACCAGTTTGTTGGAAAAGAGCCAGATGTAAGCCAAGTTTCAGTAACCAGCAGAACCTGAGTATCCAGTACATGAGAGAGAACATCATGGACTGTTGATTGGCGAAGACCATTGGCATTCCAGAGTGAAAGAGAGACGAAAACCGGGGAGACAGGCACATTAACATTATTAGGCAGTATAGATGGGGCAGAGAAGGAACTCATTATTGATCCACATCAGACATATCACTATCAGATCCAGCCTTGTCCTGGGAATCAGAGTTCAGCTTGCGACGGAACAGGAAATCAGCCTTTTTGGGCTCCTTCTTAGCAAAGCGTTCAACGGCCTGAGCAACGGCAACAGAGAGACTTTCATCGCAGATCCAACCTTTCTGTATAAAGTACTTACCGACACCACTAACATTAAGTGGGCGGAGGAAGGACAAAGTTTGCAGGCAGCGAGCTTCAGTAAATTGGTGAATCAGAGCATGACGATCATCATCAGAGAGGCTGGCGTACTTGGGATCAGCAATATTGCTGGGGTCCAATGGATCAAAAGCAGGAAACAGTTCACCCTTAGCCTTGGTCAATAGAGCAGTAAACTCCTCAACGTATTGAACGTGCAACAGAACACCAATAACATGGGAGGCAGGAAAGCAGATATCCAAGACACGACCCAGATCAACACTAGCATTAGCTAGATGCTTACGCACTTCAGAACGTTGGATCTTTCGGGATCTACCAATATATACATATTGATAGCCCTGGACACCTTTGGTAGCAGCAGTGGTAAAGGCACGACCAGCAGCAAGACGTTTTTTGTCTTTTTTCTTAGGATCAGGCTTGTGAGCAGCAGCAGTAGCGATTTGGGCGAAATTAGGAGCTTCCTTGAGAGGCTTTGGAGACACTGGGATAGAGGAACTTTCGCCCCCCTTGGGTCGACCCGAACCAGGAGAAGTGGTGTGACTAGTAACTGGACCTTGTTGTAATTTTTGAATAACCAGGTCCTTGTCTTGTAAAATTTTTTTCAGATCCTTGTTTTCTTGTTCCAAAGCAGCCAAACGTGTAAGGAGGTCCTCATGCTTGTTAACTTTCTCTGTTACCAAAGTAAGTTGTTGCTGGATTTGTTGCAGTATCGCTGGAAAGTGACTCATATCCAGAGCTTGTAGATTGGTGTCCATGGCGTTGAATATTTTTTGAAATTCCAACAATTCGAAAAAATATGAAACAGGTGTACGACAATTCTGAAATTATAACACAATAAACTGTTGATGGATGCAAGTATACTGGTACAATTTCGAGTGGATTGGAGTACTGGATGATGAGATATTACGTTTTTTGTGGTTTTTAGGATACTTTTTCCAAAGAGGGTGGCAAAAAGTGTCGAAAAACGGGAAGAGATGCCTTCTTGGCTCAGTTGGCAGAGCGTCTGCCTAGTAAGCAGAAGGTCAACAGTTCGATTCTGTTAGCAGGCATTTATTTTTTGCATTTCTTTCTTTTCCGTGAGACGTTTATATTCAATTTGTTTTTCGAAATTGCTCTGTTATTAGCAATTCAAAGCTTTATCCAGTTTAATGGGACAGAGTGTTCTTGCTCTGACAGAAAAGCGCATCTCTTTTACCTTTTTTTTTGTCGTACTCTTTAATGCCCTTCCTCACTGTTACACGCGAGTCGGTGGTAGTGGATATAGTTTTGATAGAAGAGTATGAAAGAGATAGTAAATTAGCCAAAGCAGATCTAACTATCAAATGAGCACCAGGTTTATAGTTGCCCAACTAGAATAAACAAATAAACAGAAGTAAAAGTAGAAAGCAGAAAGTAATACAGAGATGTATATAAAAGAGTTTACAACGAATCAATTATAATATATGATATATATAAAGAATTCAAGGGATCTTACAAATAACAGATGTTTGATATAAGAAAAAAAAAAAGTAAATATAATAGCTAATGAGCTTTATAAAAGATGTGTATTGAAATATTGGTAAAGTATAAGATGATTTTATTAATTGATTTTGAGAGTTATGCTTTTATACTATTTTGCTATTCGTTATGTCTGTAATAATGTCCTGGTTAACATAGGATTGATTTGAGGTTTGATAATATTTCTGTCCTGATATCCTTCGATGACTGAAGAATTGCTTACTTAATTTACAAGGGTCAAGGTGTATGGTTTCGTATGATTTGGTTATGTAATTGCATTTCATGGAGTTAAAAGTGAGATTTGATATAAGATTGTCCTTTTTGGATACAAGATGCGAAAGGCAATGCAGCGTTGATCTGGGTCTTTAATCCATGCCCGCCTGATATGTGGCCCTTCGAGTTGAGATTGAGTTGTGGGCAGAGTGTAATTTAAGCGTTACCAAATGTGATGTGCTTTATTTGTATAATAGAGGCAAGCAGACTGAATGATTATATATGGTGGCAGGAAAAAAACGTAGATGTTACGACTTGTAACATCACAAATCGTTGTTATTTTATTGTCAAAATTGTTCCAAATATATCGCATCCACCAAAATACAATGCGACATATCTGAAAATTTCATTCGGCTGTAATCATGATGATAGCTACCGCGAGATGAGTTCAGCCATGCTCTCAGAGTTCCAATAAAATGAGCGTATACCAGCTTTAAGTTTACGAATTACTATTACATGGTCAATAATCTGAATCTTGGAGACAAGCAGCCAAGCCTCAAAAACTAATCTGCATGGATACTCCATAAACACTAATAGCATGTGGTGTATCAATGAAGCTTTCATCGAATTACATTACAAGCTGCTATTGATACCACTACGGCATGGTTATCCTTCAAACCATAAAGACGTTTTGAGATGGAAGCAGACAGTGTGAGTTCTCTTGTATTTTACTGAACCGAACGATAACTGATATTATTCTTGAAAGTGGAGAAGACTTCATGACAAATTGGAGCTGATAATGGAGGATAATGCCAAAGCATAGTACAGCCACTTCAAATGTATGATAAATGCATGAATGTGACAAGGCCAGAGAAAGCGTCAATGCCTTGACGAAGGATATGATTCCAACAATCAAGGTAAAGCTCACTTTTAAGGGTATGGCTGAAGATGTGAAACATGCTTCTAGTAATATTTGATTCACATCATGTCGTATGCTATCTCAGAAAGGTAGGTTCCTACTGCACAAGGTTTCCTTATACTCGCGGCAAATCAAGTACCCTGTCTATCTACTGTGCTCATTGGCATCAACTAAAAAAACTCAAAGAATGGTAATCTGTTAGCAGATCATTGCATGCATCACTCTTCTACCAAAAGACCGGCCAACATTAAAGGCAACTAAAGTTGATAACTAGCTATTCTCTAGCGATGTTTTACCTATTCGCTTCTCATACTACTTGATACAGTAAGTACTATTGCATTGTATTGTGCCTCACACCTGTGCCACCAATATCTGTGCGAATTCTTACCATCGCCTTTGCAGTAATATCAAATAGAATTGCTTCTAACGAACACAATAAATCGGCCCACCTCATAAACTTTCTTTCACAGTACTAAAGTTATGCAATGTATGAGAAATGCAAGCAAAGAGGAATAGTTCGTAACCATGTCAGACCAAGCACAAGTTAATCCAAGTGTTCCAGGTATGCACTTTATGCCGCTGCACCATATTGTGTCTATTTAACAATGAAGCGTTCAAATCAATGAGTTGATACAGTGTAGGCAAGGCCCTTTTTATGTCCTGAAATCTGGATTGATGTTTCTGATAGTGTATATCGCTTGAATGATAAATATACATAATATATTCATGCGAATTGTATAATGCGAAAATCAAGCTTCATTGGTATTACGTACCACAGTCAAATTGTGCGCATTCTCATTTCGATCATTGTAACTCTACTGTGATTGCAATAAAAATAGTGCAACAGACTCTCTTTTCGATATTCTACAATAATTGTCATTGCAATTCGATCGAAATGGCAGTAAGTGCATGATACCAGTAAAAGGCATATAAATACCGCGCACAGTAGTATGTATGCAATATGTAAAAAGCAACAACAATGCAACTCTCTTTTGGTATTGTCGCAGCATCAATTGCTTTAGTGTGCTTTCAATTAAGTGCTGAAGCAGCAGTAGATCCGCAAGCATGGTATGCTGCACATCATGGCATGGCAAAGATTGGTCTTGTGGATCAAAGTATCAATCAAATCACGGACGAGCATGGCCGTGTCCGCTTCTTTCATGGAACCAATGTTGTCAAGAAATCAGCTCCTTGGTATCGTCCCTCTACATTTAAACCCGGAGACTCGTTTGGTCCCAAGGATGTTGCAAATCTGCAAGCTCTTGGTGTAAATGCAGTTCGTTTAGGGCATCACTGGGCTGGTAGCGAACCTATCAGAGGTCAATACAACCAAACATTTCTGGACATTATGAAGCAGCAAACCAAGCTGGCAGAAGATCACGGCATTTACGTCTTGGTGGATGTACATCAAGACGTCTTGGCAAGTCAACTGTGTGGTCATGGTGTACCAGACGTAAGTTTATCGCATGGGTTGGATTGGTTTTTATGACGCTAATGTTGCTTGCAGTGGTTTGTTCAACGTAGCTGGATGCCTAATTGGAAGCAATTCCCCTATCCTCAGAAATTGACGCCATTTTCTGTAAACGACAAGGGAATCCCAAGCGATAGCGACTGCAATTCTATTGACTGGAGCTTGAGCTATTTGACTACTGCGGTTGGTAATGCATTTGGAAGATTGTACAACAATTACGATAATTTAGGTGATGCGTTTGCTGCCTACTGGGCGAAACTGGCTCAACAGTATGTTAATACGCAGAATATCTTGGGCTACAATCTTTTGAATGAGCCTTGGATGGGAGATACTTGGGCTGACCCTACCTTACTGGTCCCTGGTGTCGCAGATCACAAAACTATGGAGGCCTTGTGGAATCGTGCTACTACCAAAATCCGCACTGTTGACAAGAACACACTCATTTTCTTTGAGGGAGCTACTCTGGATATCCTTTCAGGCTTTAACAATGCTCCTTTGGGAGACGGATCTCGCTCTGTTCACTCGTTCCATTACTACAATCCGCCTCAACTGGGGTCTATCGCCGATACGTTGAAAAACCGTATTAAGGATAATGTTCGCCTCAAGACGGCAGGCATGTTGACTGAATTTACCTTCTGGCTAACTGATGATGCTGGAGCAGCCAAATTACAAGAAGCTGTGAATGCTGCTGACGAATATATGATGTCGTGGATGGGCTGGGCATATGAAAACCTGTATGACGGCAACGGCGTTGCATATCCAGGTTTAGCAAAGCACTATAGCCGGGCTTATCCCTCTGCAGTCGCTGGTGTGCCAACCAAGTTTGCTTTTAATCCCTCTGATTCATCCTTCACCATGACATTCAATGTTAAAAAATCAGTCAATGCACCGTCTGAAATTATCCTCCCAGTTCCAACCTATCCAAATGGTTATAATGTATCCATATTTCCTAGCACAGCTGATGTTGTTCAATATAAGCTTGATGATCGCACATTGGCTCTTTTCAATGGTGAATCAATAACTGAAGGGCAAAATATCACAGTCAACATCAAGAAATTGTAATCCATGCTAACAATAGCTCAACATTTGAAAAATAAATTTGCTGTTTGCGCTTTCAAACCACTTTATCCTTACACAATTTTCGAGCAATTGCAGTGCTTTTATACTTTGAATTTGCCACAAGAATTCCCACCAACAAATGACGGTACCTGAAGTCACTTGGATTCTGACGTACTGTCGTAGCCAGAAATTACAACGACTGATCGACTGAAATGTACCTTGGTAGATCAAGATTTGAACCGACACACTACAAAAATGTTGCAGCACCTTTGAATGCAACATGTACAGCTATAGCTGAGCTTCAAGGTAATCTTGAATGACGATGATTCACATGGTCCATGGAATAAGCTTTTGCTTAAAATGAATTGGTATCTCTTTATTAAGGATAGTTTCACTGAGTTTATTTACTAGTATACGCGGGATTGCTGCTTAATTCACCATGTTAATGTAATGTAAATGGGCAAGTTAGCGTACGAGGTTACTTTTTGGGATGCGCTGATGCCAATGTTCTACAAATATATCTCGTCAAATTAGATTCGTCTGCTCTTGTTGGTGGTATAATGGGATTCGAGTTTCATGTGCCGCATAAGGTGGCGTACACCAGTGCTTTACCTGGGTTGTCTATTCAAATTCTTAATGGCTCAATCAATGTGCATACTATAAGCATGTTGACCTCGTTTAAGTAACGCGTTTTAATGATGATGATATTCAGGGTCTTTGTACGTCTATCTAGTCATGAAACGATGAATACATCAAGGTGTGTTCTATACTGCAAAGGAAAAAAAAAAAAGAAGAGGAGGTAGAAATTACAATTTCTATTTTTAAGTGTTTGAATCTTTGGTATCCATTTCCTTCTCTCTTCTTCGTATTTATCTCGTTTTACTGCTTTTTTCCCTTTTTGCTTTCTGTGCGAATAACTCACCCAGTCAATACACTCAACATAAAGCATTAAAGGTAATTATCGCTTGCTAGCATCGATGGGACATGCCACACGTTCAATTTGTTTCTAACGTCCCTTTTTTCTTCATCATTATCTCACTATCAAACTCATCCCTCCTTTGCTGCACTCTTTGCTCTTGATTGCAATGACGATAGAGAGAATGAGTAACTCAACTAGTTCGTTCGAGTCGGGAATGAGAAACCTGAATCTTGGTCATGATTCAACATCATATCATCACAGCCAGCAACAGCAACAGCAACAGCAACATCATCAACAGCATTACAGTCAACCTCCTAACCAAGGCGGAGGGGGCCAATGGAACCAGGGTCAGTATATCCAACAGCAATACCGAGCCAGTGACGATGAGGACGATGACCAGCCCCTTTCTTACCAGCAACAACAACAAGCATCGCAAGGAAACAACTTTCCCAGACCTGTATCTGTTCGAAACATGGCAATCGGTTTGAACTCAGCAAAGCCATCAAACTTCATCAAACCTGCACCACCTCAGTCTAACAGCTCCATTGTACCCCAAGATATGAGTGTGATTCAATCACTGTACGAAAATTACTCTCAAAAGGTCTACTTTGAAGGCTATGTGTACAAAAAGAATGACTTGACTGTGGATGGCAAGTCATTCGGCGATCCCAAATGGTCCAAATGGTACGTCGAGCTTTGTGGACCTGTATTGACGCTCTGGGACACACAGACTGATCAAAGCGAGAATGTGATGCCTCAATATATCAATATTACCGACTCCAATGTTGAACTTGTTGGTCGCTCTGGTGAACCTGGACGAGAGAACGTATTTTCCCTGAATTCAGCTGGTGCTAATCGATATCTGTTTGATGTGCCTGATTTCAACACACTCGTCAATTGGGTCTGTGCTATTCGTCTGTCATGTTTTGAATGCTCCAAGCTGCAGGAAATTTTCACACGCAGCTTTGTGTCTCGCTCAGCATACGCCGATGTTCTTGCCAAGCCAATGAGTAAGATGGAAGGATTTGTCCAGGTCAGATTCTCAGGCACAACCGAGTGGCAAAAGTATTGGGTGGTAGTATCAGATAGAAAGGAGGAGAAGAAGCTTTTCAGCAAGAAATCAGTGCAGTCAAGGGGTCAAATGATGTTTTACGAATCAAAGAAGGCAAAGTCGCCAGTGCTGACCATGGTCAATGTGGTGCAATCTTACATTTTGTATCCGGAATCACCACAAGCCATTGATCTTGTTACCATGTTCAAAGTGGAAGGAAGCACATTTACTGTCAAATTGAATGGCGAGCAACAGCCTGCAGCATCCTACTCGAGTGCACTCATCATGGCATCAACCCCCAAAGAGCTTGTTCAGTGGACAATTGGCACTTTTGACGCATTCAAATTGTACGGCAGACCCAGCCGCTTGAATGACGATCCTCTCAACATCAACTCACTCAATTTTGGAGAACCCAAAAGTGATTTGCCTCGCTTGTTTTTGGAAGTACCTGAAGTGGCACACCTCAACTTTAGCGATGAAACTTTGCTGGATAATAAGGCCCAATTTGCAGGCATTTTGCTTCATAAAATGCAGCAGCAGCAGCAGCAACCTCCACCTCCACCTATGCATCGCCAATCACAACAGCCAATGGGCCTCATTCATCAAATACCTTCAGGTGCACCCATGTACAATAATCAGTCGCCTCGTCCCACTTCGCAACGGATGTCTACATATTCCAGCCAGTCTTCCTCCATCAGATCTCCACTGCCACAACCCACTCAGCAACAACAACAACAACAACAGCGTATGAATGCTCCGGCACCAGGTCGCAGAATCTATGCCAGTGACGAGGGAAGTGATGACGACGACGAAGAAGAAGAAGAGGAGGAAGACAGTGATCGCGATTCCGTATTCAACAAGAAAAGCTCCAAACTACACACAAAAGAAAGTTTATCGCTACCCCCTATGACAGCTTCAGAAGATGATGGATTCGCCAGCAGCATTTTAGGTGATATTGAAAAGAGGAACACAACATCTGCATCACCGCGCGCACCCCTTCAGACAGATAGTGTATTTTCACCACCTCAACCATCCGCACAGACACTACCAACTGACCATTCATCCAACACAAGCTTGCCAACCAAGGAAAAAGGTGCCAAAAGTGAGGATGAATTTGGGCTGTCTGATAGTGAAGATGAAGAGCCTACTCGGGCCCCTGTTACATCAGCCAAAAGACCAACACCCAAGATGGCCAGAACTCAAGTCAGTCTGAGTGGATCAGATACTGAGGACGAGGAGGACGCAGAGGATGATGCGAGCTATTCTGGCAGTGATGACGATGTTCCAATTCACCAGCAACAGCAACATCAGCAACAGCAGAGATATCAACAGCAGCAATACATGGACTATAACGATCCTCGCATGCAGTATCAGCAAGGCCAACCACAATGGGATAGTGCAAGTATGATGGAGCAGCAGCAGCAATACTTTGATGAAGATGGATATCCTATCATGGATGAAGATGGACCTGTTATTCCCCAATTGGGCGATCGATTTGCCACTCAAAATAGCTTACTGGACACCTACAGACCAGACCGTGCATCAGCTCATGACCAAGAAGGCTACGCTAGAGCCACAGGACAGCCACTCATACAAGTCCCTAATAAACCACCGGAGCCTCGCGCTGGTTTGGTAGGCATGATTTCTCAAATTGAGCACGAAAAAAAGCAAAAGGAATCCAGTAAGAATCGATTTGGCGACATGGACCGTGATCGTATGATGGACCGTGAGCGAGAAAGATATATGATGGATCAGCGTGCACAAATGATGCAGGTGAGTGAATCAGTGCTTAGCCGAAATGAAAAATGAGATGAATACTAATCGCTTTGTAATTTGAGAAGCCTATGATGGGTCAAGGCATGAATATGATGGGGCAGCCAATGATGTATCCAGGAATGAACCCTGCCATGATGCAAATGATGGGTGGTCAAATGCCAATGATGAACTTGATGGGCCAGCCAATAATGTATCCTGGTATGATGCAAATGCAAAACCCCAGCATGATGAACATGCAAATGATGCCTCAAATGATGGATCCTCGTATGTCAATGATGATGATGCAGCAACAATATGGACAATATCCAATGTGGCAACCACAACAACAGGCCATGTTTGGCAATCCTCGATTCAATGGCATCCAAGAAGAAGATGATGACGATGAGGATGATGATGTGCCACTTGGAGCAAAAGAATCTCTCATACCCAGAAACAGTAATAACAATCAAATTTAATAATAAAGCGATAGATCCCCCCCTTTTTTTTTTGAATACAAGATGTCTATGTCTGTTTATGCTTCAAAGCAGCAGCTCAGTCCGCCAACTCAACAGCTTTGACACCAACACGGATTGAGTTTGGCTTTTTGAAATGATAAGTCTGTTTGATTTGGAAACGGTAAACAATAGGTCTGGTTGCCATGGCAACATCCAAAGCAGCGCTTTCGACTTGAAATCAACCAAATAACATTGTGCTTATAGTCACACAGAATCATTATAACCGTTAAAGACGTTGTAATACAATGTATTATTGTATCAAGGATATCGTCCATGTGACTGTGTTGAGGTAAATTGATGATCTTTCAGAGATCGATGCCACAATTGAATTATCTCTTTTTCTGTTTGCATTTGTAAAGAAGAGCATTTCATGGAAACGAAGCTAAAGAGACCGGCATTTCAGCCTTATATTCCTGTTCACCGACGCAATCAAGTAGAGAAAGCTACTGTGCCATCACCACCACCGTCAGCTCGAGCATCGCCCAAGGAGGATACCGAAGTAAAGCGACGTGGAAGAGGTCAATTCAGAGCTCCTCTGAATGAAGACAATGAAGTCATTTCAAATAACAGCAGAATCTTGAGAGAAGAACCCAAGACGTCCAATAATGATGTAAATAATTGCTTATTGACCATCTCATGGACTGTTTGGTTGCCTAACAGCATGTCTAGACTATCGAGAAATTGACCGAGAAAGTCAAGAATTTAGCGATCGAGACGCCTGACGACAAAGATGATTGGGAAGAAGAGTGGGAGGCATCAGCCGATCATTTCAAAGTGAAAGCGAAAATACAGACACCAGCCAAGCCAAAACCAAAAGAGTCAGCAATACCCATCAATGGTAAGTTCTTGTGACAGATGAATGAGAAGCTCAATCAATTGAACATGTTGACCGTAGATGAAGAGTTGACGACCACACTTGACTGTTATGATTTTCCAAGCTCTTTCAAAACGCATCATTTGCAAGATATGTTTAGAGAATATGAATCAATGAGAGGTGGATACAGTATAAAATGGGTTGATGATACCAGAGCATTGATTGTCTTTGAGCATCCAAACACAGGTAAAGATGGTTGATTGCTTATGTTAGTGTTGCATCGTGATGAATTAATACTTTATTTGTAGCAAAAAAAGCTTACATAGATCACATAAATAGCCCAATCATCAAGATTCGACCTTACAAAGGTCGAGTGGAGATCAAGCGTAAGCATATCAGTATAACTACCAATTGTATCAGATCCTAAATGCTTTCTACAATGTAGCATCTGGGCCTATTCCACGTCGACCTGTAACAACTGATATGGTTGCTAAACGATTAGTGCATAGTGCTTTAGGGGTGAGATCAACGAAGACAGCGGAACAACGACAAGCCGAGAAAGAGTTGCTGAAAGCAGCAAAAGGTAAGAAGCGTTTGTAGCAATAGACATACAGTTTGCTAAAACCAGCTTTGCAACAACTAGAACAACGACTCGCACAAAAGGCAAATAATGCAGCGAGAGAAAAGCAAATTGCTAGTGCATTTGATGAATAGGCATCCGCTCGCTAATTGACATCTGGAATGTAGATTAAATCTAAATAAATACGTATGCTACAAATACAAAACAACCAAATTGGCAGTGTTTAATGACGAAATTTTGAAAGTTTAGATTTGTGTATACACATAATCATGCTTTTGACGTCTTGTAACATTTCAAATACTGGAGTACTGCTGAAAGCAAGTAAACGATGATTTTCCTATTCAAAAAAAGTAGAAAACATCAGACTTGACAGAAGATCATTTATATTACGTAAGCGCGTTTGAAAAATGCGCAAAAATGAATGCGGCTAAAGTGGATCGAACACCTGACCTTTAGATCTTCAGTCTAACGCTCTCCCAGCTGAGCTATACCCGCAAATTCCATGATTTCGAGACCAAAAATTGAGTGTTATACACAATGCCAAGTTTTTGCAACAGCAGCATGTAGATAATAAGGTTTTTAAGAGCCCTGTAGTTCGAGAAGCGAATATTTGTGAAGGATTTATAGCTAAAATAGGTTTTACATAATATATAGATACATCTAAAAACATTTTCAATTAAACTGAAGCAGGAAATAACCAAATAACTTCTTCATATATTATGTACGCTTTGCCCTTTATAAAAAATTTATATCAGGAAGACTATATGCCCAATTTGAGAAGTTATCAAACATATAAAAATACTTTTAGTTGCTACATTGGTTGTCAAATAATTAAGCAAGAAAAACGTAAAGGAACCAATATAATATAGAAAAAACGAACGTTTCGACAAACATTGTTATATTATGTACAACTGCCAGTTCATCCAAGCTTCTTCTCAATTATCTATATTTTTTTCCTCTATGATTGCTCTGCCAAATAAGACCACGTTTGGGCGCCTACTGCGATACTTCACCAGTCTTTTATCAGTCATTTTTCCTTAATTATAATTGTCCACTGTTGTGCCAGAAGGGCTACAACTGTCTATAAAGATTAAGGTTGTGGAATACATCCACTATGATCTGCATTCCGACAGTTCATCCAGTTACCAGATTTAGATATAAACTGTATGTACACTGGATTAGATGTACGATATCGATTTATACTATAAGAAGATATGGACTTCAGATACGCTAGTACTATAAGATTCATACTATATAAGATATAGGCCATAGATGGCACCACGGACATGGATGGCGCTATAGACTTATACTTGTATTCCGACATTGACTACGGATGTTTACCATATCTGGATAGGCACCAAGATTAATGCAATATGAGCTTGTTGCTTCAGATGTGCACTTCATGATCCACGCTATAAGACACATGCTTATATCCGTGATACTAGCTACAGATACTTTATTATGTACTACAGACTTGTACTATATATGAGACATGCTATAGACATGCATACGATATGCTATAGACATGCCATATATCCAGATACATGCTAAAGATGTATGCTTAGCGATATACACTCAGATATGTACTATTAATATAGACTAAGAAGACTGTACCTATCGGATACATGCTACTAGATCGATATTAATTATCCTTATAGAAAGGATAGATCAGGGTACTTCGGATGAGAGTCTAATTATTCATCCAGACAGAGCTAAATCATGATTAGCTTGCTGGAGTTGTCTTTTAGCATGATTAGACATTAGTTGATCTGAGTTGACTTATTTGTTAATCTAATTAATAGAACTTTTATCCATTGTTATAGTATATAAGAAGGATCATCTACCTGGCCAGTAGAGAGACTTCAGTTTACTTTACACCTGTCAGTTTGATAATAAAATATACCTTTATCAAGTTGACATTACTGTTTTTTTATTCTTTTTTTTCCGTGAATTTTAGTCTATCAAGCCTCAAATTCCACAAAGGTAGTATTCTTAATGGGTAGATATGTCTGTGTTGTGCAACAACATGTGTAATGAAATAGTCACCCAAACGCAACTTAATTGAAAACCAAAGTTCATCAAATAGCACTCATTCAAATTCATGCTATTTGGATCTATTAATGAAAGCGCTCAAATGTACATCAAAAAACCATTTAAAAATACTAAAGTAAAGATACACGCTTATATCGCACATCGTGTGAATGAATCACTCCTGATCACAGTGTATTCAATCACACCCATGATGGTCGTAATAAGTGATGGTATCTTTATCCAAAAAGAATCAAATCAATAACAAGCATATTCAAATATGACAACTATGCCCTGCTGCCATAGTTGCACAATATCCCAGATAAAGGATTCCATGCTTCAATAACAAACATCACACTTTAAACCATCAAGGTTACATTAAATCATGCTATGACGATAGCTCACCCAAGCCCATCAAGGTTACTCAAATCGACCCTTATGGCCAGTGCTCCTGCATTGATTACCACTTTAAATCAAACATCAACAACATTTGCCAGATATCGCAATAGCAGCACCTATTGCTCTCTATCATCACTAATCCTACAAGCCAGATGCAAATGTATAAATACTCTTCTTTTTTTTACTCAATTCCAGGATCTTCAGTTCATTTTATACACAAAATAAAATACAGTTGATTTCTATTGTATTTTACCTTTGCTTTATTTTTTTTGTGAAATCCATTAAACCTGATTTCACTGCATTTTTTACAATATTCAAACTATATTTTATTAAACAAACCTTATCACAATGTCTGACAATACCAACAACTCTGGCTCTCCTTCTGTCCCCTCTGCTCAAGGTTCTCCTGCTCAACGTCAACCTGGTGACGATACCATTGAGCACACTAGGCAGCAAGTCCAGGCCATCCTCTTGGATCAAGGTACTGATGTCGGACAACAACCTCAACCTTCAAACCATCAAGAGGATATTGCCATGATGGATGCTATGCCATTGCGATCCTCTCCTGTTCCTGCTTTGGCTAACCATGCTCCCAATGATGGTGGTGAATCCTCATCTCAAGTTACTTCTCATTTGTCTGCGTCGACATCATGTTCATCAGGTAATGCATCCTCCTCTGCTGCTGGTTCTAGCACGTTGAATTCCATCAAGAAATTGGTCTGGCGTCGGGATTCGTTTGTACGTCTGTTGCTGGACATGGTCGAGGGAACTGATATGAACAATGAGCACGGTCAAAAGCATATTGAAGATATGCGATCCAAGATTGAGGACCTGAATCGTCTGATCTCCACTGTCAAACACTCAGCCAAGCTGTCCGAATCCAATGTCACCGCCTCACTCACTGGTGACAATGAGGGCATCTCATTGTCCAAGCAAGACCTACCTAAATTCCAACTTCGTTCGCATGCCACCAAGTACTTTCCCAATGAAATCTCCTATGATTCGATTCACCATTTTCTGCGCTCCTTTGAGAAGGTAATTTCGTCTCCCGGAAAGGCAATCGAGGATGTCTGGCGCCGGTATATCCCTCTCACGATACCTTACGACTTGGATCTTTGGTTAAATCAAGAATTACTGAATGCTGAAACATGGGTTGCCGCCAAGGAAAAGTTCACATCAAAATTCAGTAATGCTGCTCTGCGTCTAGATGCTCGCCGGGAGGTACAAACGGCTACTATGAGACATGGTGAAACTACGGAGGAGTACTACAACCGTTTCGCTCGGGCTATGATGGAGGCAGGCTACTCATCTGAAGATACCACTCTTGGCGATACATTCTTGCTCGGCTTCCCCAATGAATGGCAGATCCAAATCAACGCTGTTCTCGGTGTTCACTTCCCTGGGTGTTCTAACTTCACCGCCAGTCAGATTGTTACCTGTGCCATGAACGTCCTCAACACTCAAAAGTGTCCTGTTTCGTTTGTCAACGCAAAGCGACATGGTGGTTCTCGTGCTTCGTCCTCCTCATCCGGTTCATCTGGATTCTCTTCCTCTGCTGCTGCTTCTTCTTCCGCTCCTCGTTACTACTGCTCAAACCATGGAGGCTCTCAGGCCAGACATCACGAGAAGGACTGTCGTCTGAACAAAGGTGGTTCTTCATCAAGACGTGTAGTTGAAAAGGCAAACGTACCCAAGAAGGCCAGCGGAAACACTTTCTGCAAGTGGTGTGGCAAAACTTGGTTCCACGGTCACTCTTGCCCTGAGTACCAAGCTATGAAGGGTTCGTTCAAGGTGTTGAGCGTGAGAAGAGAAAATAGTGGTCATCGACCCTATACAACTGGCTCCAGTAGTCAGAAACAAAAGCGTCATTCCCGTAATGGCAAAGGAAAGCAAAAGGACTCCGGGTCCAGCGAAAGTGACCTCTTCCGCGAGGCTATGGAAGACAAAGAATGTAAGTCTTCCACATCAAACAAAAACACTTTCAATTTAATAACACCATTGCTTCTCAATAACATTAGAATCATCGGAAAGGTGGATCCTGGTTCAGATGTTAGCATCATTAACAAATCCGTTTTGAATAAAAAATTCTCTACCATCAAAAATATCAAAGCATTGGGTGGTTATTTAACCTTTTTGAGCATGAACAAAGATGGTAGTGCATCTAAAGCTGAACGCATTGGAAGCACCGAACCCATCAAAGTAACTTATATGAATGGAATCACATTTGAACATTCCTTTGAAATCATTGACTTCAATGATTCCATGGCTGAAGAGTTTGATGTACTCCTAGGAGTCGACATCTTGCCTCGCCTCAACATCTATCTTAGTGGAGTAGCTCATTGCTTTCCTGACACCGAAAACGAAATTGCTCAATTCAAGAATATAAACTATGACACTGAAAACGTCTATAATCCAGAAAATGCTGATTATGGTACTTCTCAGGAACGTCACATCCTTCTACAACAGATCGAACAATCTCTGAATGCCAACAAGAACATCCCTGCTGACGCAGTATGTTCCATGCCTGAAAGTGTAGTGCATGTTCCTATATCCAATCCCAAGGATTGCTTCATTCGCCAGTATCCATTATCCATCAACTCGCATGCCGAGATTGACAAACAAATCAAAGAATGGCTTCAAAATAAGATTGTTGAACGCTGCAAACCCTCATCAGTGTTCCATTCACCTCTGATTACGGTGACAAAGA